ATTTTTTTTTTTTTTTTTTTTTTTTTTGTATGCCTCGACAACTTCACTTTTAGCTTACAAACTAAGTAGAAAAAAAAAACAACAATAAAACGAAAAAAACGAAAAATACTTTGAATTTTGAGAAAATTTTACGAAAATAAAATAAATAAAAAAATGAGAAAATAAAACTGATGTAGCCTTGTGTAAATGCCGTGTAGAACTGAGCTCGAAACATATTCCATTTTCCCATCTGAATGTGGTTGACAGTTGGGACGGTGCTCGGCCTACTTGATTCGAATTGAATCCAATACGAAGCATTCACTTTCATTTTCATTGCGCCTCGATTCCGGAAAAGTCTCGAGCTCCGCTCGGATATTTGCTTTTGTTATAAATACAAACAGCTCGGGGGCTCTGAGCGAGGTAGGCGGTGGCGGGTTTGTCTTGGGTCTCGTCTCCAGTCTGGATTGGTTTTTGGTCGCATTTTGTGTGCGTGCGTGTGTATGTGTGTGTGTGTGTGTGTGTGTGTGTGTGTTTGTGTTTTTAGCCCGGTCTCAAATTGCACAAGAACAAGCAAACAGGCACAAGGACAATAAGAATGAAAACCAAACCAAGCCGGATTAGTGGTATGACGTCCCTTTTCTTTTTTCCCGGCTTTTGGACCAACGCTCGAGTCGAGCCACATTATTTGTGTGTCTGAAAAAGTTAATTAAGGGTTTCACAGTTTATGGAAAATGTCAACCGAAATATATGTATGTATGTGGAATACGGCGCAGACCAATTGCTGTCAAGGCAACCAGTCAACAGATCTACCCGCCCCGCCCCGCCCCACCCCGCTGCCGACCACTCGCACAGCCTCCCCCTGCCGCCTCGCCCCGATACACCTAACGGACATCACCCGCAGCGTTATTGTGGCCATAATTAGCTGCGGCCAAACACTAATTGTGCTCTACCTAGGCACAGCTGTGACTCCATCCAGCCATCCATCCATCCATCCATCGAATCATGGCTTCTCCCCTCTCTCCGTTTCAAATTCGGCTCTCGGCTTACAGCATTTGTAACTATTTGATGTAGCGCGTATCGCATTGCAGACACCCGCAGTGTAACTGGTACAGTCGGCCAAGTCAACTGCCAAGTGGCTGACTGTACCGGCCCTTCCGTGGGGTCGTCTATCACATCACAGTCACGCTTCAATTATGATTTTGTCTTTATTTCAATTTTCAAGAATTTGATTCGGAATATACATTTCGTGTTTTTCAATATTTTCCAATACTGTTCAGCTTCTTTTGATCTCTCTGTACCCTCGTTCTACCTCCCTAGCTCTCTCTCTCTCTCTCTCCTCCTCCTCATGCTCTAAGTCTTTATTAGTATAAGTACAAGTCCTTCTTTCATACTATCCCTGTCTCTATCTCTCTCTTTCCTTCGCACATTGCTATTCTCTCCTTTATTAGTTTAGTTTTCTTTCTCCCTCTTCAGTTTTCTTCAGATACTCTCTCTCTCTCTCTCTATCTCTATAACAGCTTCACTGAGTTTTTCTATCTGCCCGACAACTTGCTCTAGCTTCTCCCAATGTTAGCTACAACCTCTTTATTACTCTATATATAGATATTTTCTCTCTCTCTCTCTCTCTCTCTCTCTCTCTCTCTCTCTCTCTCTCTCTCTCTCTCCATATGTCTCATTTGCAGTCTTACACTCTCTTTATTCTAATTTGAGCTCTATTTATCTCTATCTCTCTGTATCTACCGCTTTGCTCTCACTCTGTTTATGGCCCTACCTTTGCCTCATCTGTCTTCTTTCGCAATCTCTCTCACGCCTTTTCTCTCCATTTTCCTTCGGCTTGTCTTCCTTCATCAGCTTTAATCCAATTCTGATGATACTAAATGCTTGCATGCATTTTTCATAAAAAGGGGGTTTGCCCCTTTAATTAGTTTAGCGACCATTCCAATAGCTGCCCACATAACGTAAAACCACAGCAACAACATATCCGCATCCGCAGCCGCATCCGCATTCGCATTGGCATCCATTCTGTTTTCCTTCTGTTTGGACTTCCGCTTGCTAGCCGCAAAATTAAAAATATATATATTTGATTTGTTGCCAATTGTCAACTGGAACTGCAAATGCAACTGGACATCGACATGGAACTGCGACGCGGTGAGCTGTGACCCCGTTGACCTTTTGTGTGGCGCGTGACAGTTACCCGTTTGAATTCTCTGCATCACGCCGGGTGGTCCATTGACATGCAATGCGCACGCGTTCCCTCACCCCTGTCCAAGCTATCGATCTCTCTCCCTCTCTTCCTTCTCTTCTCTTCCTCTCTCACTCTCTGTACGTCACTCTCGCCCTCATTCTCAGCCTTGATTTTAACTTCATTGCAAACCTCTTCCTCTTCCTCTGCCTTTTCCTGACCCCTAACCCCTAGCTTCTCCCTAAACCTTGGCTTCATTTCTATCAGCATCGATATCGACATTAGTCTCCGCATCGGTCACATTAGCATTAGCATTGGCATTGGCATTAGTTTTAGCTTTGCCGCTCGTAAGAGCATTAGCATTAGCATTAACATCAGCTTCAGCATTAGAAATAGCATTAGCATTGACATTAGTTTTTACCTTAACCTTTGTACGAGTATTAGCATAAGCATTAGCATTAGCATTGATATTAGCATTATCTCTCACATTCGCTTTAAATATCAGCATTAGCAATGACAATAGTGAAGCTATTAATTAAGTACTGATATCAGCGGAAAAATTAGTATTATCATTGTCATTGGCATTAGCATTGCTCTTCGCTAAAGCATTTACACGAGCATTACTATTAGCATTAGCATAGGCATTTATATTAGAGTGAGCATTGACTCACGCATTAGACTTGGCATTAGCATCAGCATCAGTCCTCTCCCTCACTTTAACATTCTCTGCCCTACATCTACCTCTAGCTCTTGCTCATCGCACCCCCTTCCTCTCCTGCGCCCTCTCCCACCGTCAGTCTCTGTTTCCATTCTCACCCTTCAGGCTTCTGGTCCCATTTGCTTTGTTTCCAAATATTTGCAGCATAATGCGTAAATGTTTTCAGTCCAAACATTGTCCAATCAACCATTCGCATTCGCACACGCATTTTGCGACTAGTTTTAAATTAAATTCGTTGTGGGCGCTGTCAATCGATTTAAAAGGGATGAAGTCCATAGGTCACATAGGTCACATAGGTCACTCAAAATAGATCGTTTGCCTTTTCGGGGCAGCAGGCTGAACAATTGCCCATTAATATAAAAATAAATGTATTTCGAATATAAAAATCCCCGTTAGAAACTTTAATTATGTTTTGCTACTCTATGAGTTCATTATTTGCCGGTTCTTTGTAAGAACTGTTGAAGGTTTCAGGGCTTCATTGTCGGACATACACATACATATACATATGTATCATGAATGCTAACTGTACGCACGTATAGCTTGATGAGGCAGTCAGTCAGTCATGCACTCAGTCAATCGGTGAGTCTTCCGAGGAATTAGACAATCAATCAGTCAATCACTCAGTTAATCAATCAATCAACTAGTCTATTCTTCAGCTAATCAATCAGCCAATCAAACTATAGTTTGGTCTATGAATCAGCTAATATAACTATCATTAACTAATATAACTATCAGGCAGTTCTTCAATCAAAAAATTGATTGAAAGTCATCAATAAAACAACTGATCTATCAATCAGTCAATCCACTGCCTATCAGCCAATCCATCAATTCACATTCGTCAAGCTGTCAATCAGTCAATCTAATCTGATGGACTGAATCATCAACCAACAAATAGTCATTTTTCCATAAATATATTCTTCCAAAAACTATTGAAATTCTCTCACATCGATAGCAATTGGAATGATTGATGAAGGTACGTTGACTCAGCTCTGAGCTCTGTTCCATCATGGATGCAAGTCCAAGTTCCAAATGGAGCATTTTGGTGCTATTTCCGTCCTGTCTTCAACATAATCCTAACTTGGGCTTTGGGTGGTCCCCTCCAGCAATTTGATAGCTCGAATCTATATCGCAATTAAGTTGGGCCAAGTCAGAACTTGATAATCGCTCGAGCATTTGACCTGCTAAGGTCGAAGGCTTAATAACTCTATAAGCAATTAGAGGGCAGCACTCACTCTATCCGCCCGTCTCTCTGTCTCTCTCACTCCTTCGCTCTGCACACAATCTCTTGTCTACCTATGACGGACAGGTTGGTTGAGCAACAGATCCAGATATATCTATATCTGGGCGCTGACTAATGATGCCAGCGAGCACAAAGTGCAAGATGAGGCGACAGCTTACTCCATTCAAGCGCAAAATGATGAATTATTGTTTTCAAATATCCACGAGAGAAACACAAAGGAAGCAGAAAACTACGAAAAAAGAATAGGGTAACAATATAAATTGATATTTAAGTATTCGCTTTATAAGTTGATTCCTTTCAATGGGCAACAGATCCTTTGACTGCTCCACGCCGAAACCCACCGAAGCCATGGGAAAACTGTTTCTAATTGATTATTACAACGGCTACAATCATTTTGTACTTGGCTAGAGCTGAGGTCAAATCAAGCCCCACTGTTTTATGGTCGAAGTCAGGTGTTGCACTTATATTAAATATATCTATACTATTTACGAGAAATATTGACTCTATTCTCTAAAGTCTCTGAGTTCGTCTGATTGACTGTTTGATTGACCGACTGAGAGGTGGATAGATTGATCACTGTGACTGATAGATAGATGAATGTGTGACTTACGGTTTAGCTGAAGAAAATGATTGATTGATTGACGGAACGTTGGACTAATTAATCGATTGATTGACTGATTTATGGATGGATTGATAGATCAATTGACCAATGAATATTTGGATTGACTGACTGATTGCCGACTAA